CTCGTCTAAAGCCATTATTAGACATTGAGTTTTCCATTCATCCAAAGCTAATATTTGATGTTGTGATATTTTCTCTCGTCTAAAGTCATTATTAGAGGTTGAGTTTTCCATTCATCCAAAGCCAATATTGGATGTTGTGACCTTTTCTCTCGTCTAAAACCATTATTAGACATCGAGTTTTCCATTCATCCAAAGCCAATATTGGATGTTGTGATCTTGTCTCTCGTCTAAATCCATTATTAGACATTGAGCTTTCCCTTCATTCAAAGTTAATATTGGATGTCGTAATCTTTTCTTCCATCCAAAGCCAATATTGGATGTTACTATCTTTTGTTTCCATCCAAAACCAGTATTGGATGTTGTGATCTTTTCTCTCGTCTAAAGCCATTATTAGACATTGAGTTTTCCATTCATCCAAAGCCAATATTGGATGTTATTATCTTTTCTTTCATCCAAAGCCAATATTAGATGTCGCTATCTTTTGTTTCCATCCAAAGCATGTATTGGATGTTGTGATCTTTTCTCTCGTCTAAAGCCATTATTAGACGTTGAGCTTTCCCTTCATTCAAAGCCAATATTGGATGTCATGTTTCTTTTCCATCCAGCGTCTTTCCTAAACGACTCTGATGTAGCTTCAGATTTGGTCTCATCCCACATCTAATGTTCTTCTAGATGTTTCTGATTGTCTTTTCCAGAGAATTGTTCGCCTTATTCAATGCCATTTTTGGATGTCGCTGCTTGCCTTATCAGGTTTTATCTTTTTTTTTTTCAAGTATTGATGGTTACTCCTTGTCACCCTGACGGATATCCAGAATATCTTGTTGTTTCCCTAACGTGTCTTTCCACGTCATTTCATCTGAACACCATAAATTTCTAGTTTCGAGTCTTTCCATATTCCCAGAGTCTGTCTCATCTCATACACCATTTAAAAAAATATATATATAAAAAAAAGAGTCCATGCATTCATTCATAACACATGCTATCATCTCATCGCATCAGGGATGAAATTCATGTTTGTTTGTATTTAATTACTTTCCTCCTATCTGGAAAAAAGATAATTAAATAGAGGCAGCTTGTACCCTAAATTTCGCCCCTAACTTTTTCAGTCGCACTTTCATATCATATTTTGTCATTTGGTCACAATCATTAATAAATAGCTTCATTCATCACATTTGCATCTTATCTTTAAGTTTGATCTTGTGTTGTTGACTAACTTCTAATCAAAATATAAAAAAATATCTGTCTTTGTATATTTGTGTTTTGTAGGTACCGAGTCAAAGCATCTGACAAATAAGGTTTCCCGGTATTATTTTCCTAAAATCTCTATTTGCAAAGAAAAATAATTTTAAAAAAATTCATTTTTTTCACTGTACAATCGATTGCTCTTAGAGTGCAATCGATTACACAGAGTGCATTTTGCGCCATTTTTGAAAAAAATATACTGATGCAATCGATTGATCCCAGAGTGCAATCAATTGCACATGGTGAAAATTTGGAAAAAAATCAGCAATTTCAATCTTGTCAATTTTGGCTCCAATTTTTCCTTCATTTTTTTTAAAGATATATCATTAATTCAAATTTTGGCTCCAATTTTTGAAAGAGATGTCATTAATTCAAATTTTAGCTCCAAGAATTAATTACCAAACCACCACTAATCCCAAGTCTAAACTCTATAAATAGAGCCCTCATTTCATTCAAATTTCAAGCTTTTGATAGCCAAACTCATTTTTCTAAAAAATCTCTCAATTCTCTCTATCTACCAAATTCACTCCCATTTTAAAAAAAGTTAGTAAGCTTTGCATTGAAACTTACTAATCTTTGAGCTAAACCTTCATCCAAACACTTTTTCTTTATTGATTCTCTACATCCAAGCTCGGGAAATTGATTCTTGGGGTTGAATTGAAGCAAATTCTTGAAGTTGTTTTGATAATTCTTTAGATCTACCTTTGGTAAGTTGGATTTTTCATCTTTCATAGTGTGATCTCTTATTGATCTTTGGGTTTGATTCATTGAGCATTGCTTGTGATTCCATTGGTGGTATTTTCTCATGTTTTGATGGAATTTTTGTGCTCAATTGAATCCATGATCATAAGGTGTTTGATGAAAAGTTTGAACAAGAATTTGGCCTTTTGAAATGCTGATTTTCTGATTCTAACAAGGTGTAATCGATTGTTGTAATAGTGCAATCGATTTTCATAGTAAAATTTCACATTTTTTTTAAAAACAGCACTGATGCAATCGATTGCTGTAAGAGCGCAATCGATTGTAACAGTGTTAAAATGCTTTTTCTGCCTTGTTTTGGGGCTGTTTTGATCCAACTATCTTTTTCTACTCACTCCTTTTGATTGTTGATTTGGATTGCAATTTTAAATGTCCAATTTCTCTTTAAATTCAATGGACTTTGGGTGTAGATGAAGTTGGATAAATGTTCATTAATTCAAATCTACCAAAGAGTGAATTATTTAATTCATTTTTGGTGCTTTGGATTAATGATATATTTAGTACTTTAATCTATCTAGATGACTGATTAAATTTAAAGATGAAAGAAATTTGAGGTAGTGATCCAAATTAGCTTATCATTCCCCTCCCTCTTCATCTTATCCCTTTCTTTTTTATTTGTGCTACATGTTATGGGATGGTGATCTCTATATCATTTATCTAAACATGAAGTACATAGATTGCTATTGACCGACCTCAAAATAGGTGCGACTTTTACATAAGTCCACTTACGATTGCTTAGCATAGTGCTAAATTTTGTCCCGATTCAAGAAAATGATCATTTGTGGCCCAAACCTATGTTTGCAAGCCCAAGTATGTTAATTTGAACCCTTTAATCCAATAACCTTGAGATTCATTGTTAGGATGCTTTGGTTCTACCAATCCTCCAATGGATCTTCATCAATTTTGGTCAACGCGGATCACTTAAACATCATTGATCATTAAATGCTACCTTGAGGATTTTTAAATGGATGATATACTTGACAAAAAGCAAATGCAACTTGTTGTTGAGAGGCTTTGGTTCTACCAATCCTCTAATGAGTTCCAAATGCAAGTTTCAAGATGGTCATCCAACTAACCACTAACTTCTAACAATTGAATTTAGTTTATGCTTTTTATTTTTATGCTTTTATTTTATGTACCATTTACTTTAACATTTACATTTCATGTTATTTTCATCTTTGCTCACTTGAGCATTTACTTTTATGTCATTTTTATTTTACTCACTTGAGATTTTCTTTTCCTTTTGAAGATACTTAATAATCAACATGAACCATAAAAAACATTAATGATACTTGGACTATTTGGTCACTATCCTTGATATTATGGAGTATTGGACTTCTTGGACTTAGCATTAGATACCTTGATCTTATGTTGGAGACCTTGTGACCTTAATTGATATTTTGTCTAGAGTTCTTGAGGTTTACCTCAAGAGGTTTACCTCAAGACATTGGGTTGTTTGTTTTGTGTGCAGGTCATTGTGATTACATACTTTGTCTGTAATCTGGAATTCATCTGTATACAGCTGTTACTCTGCCTAATTTTTTCAAAGACTTAATACATTTGAAGTTTGGTCTTCTCAAGAGGTCTAGTATCTTTGCTTACTTGGTTTCAATCTAAAGAATAGGAATTCTATCTTGACTCATAATGTCAAGTGTTGACTTCTTGTTGGTTAGATGGTTCTTCTCCCTAGCTTTTATCCTATACTTTAGGATAGTCCCTTTATCTCCTCCCATCTTCTTTAATTTTCAAAATCTTCTCACCTTCTTTTTCAAAATCTTCTTTGTTTATAAACTCAAACCGCTTTCATAATAAACCTCGACCCTGTCGAGTGTCTTTTCTTTTAAAACATCTTTTCATTAAACAAAGTTCAATTCATTTAATCATACTTTGACATTTTTCAAAAATTAACAAAAACAATTCAACCCATTCAAACTTTTTTGTGCGCTCGAGCACTTTTATCCTTCAAAACTTTTTTTAAGATGAGACATGATTCATTGATAGTCGAGCAATATTCTCCTATCCCCATGGTTATAAAGGTGTCGATTTTTCCACCTGAGTGTCAGAGGCGTTCTCAAACCCCCACTCTTGCTGACACATGGTCCATCTTTCCCACACCTTGTGGGCGTTAGTCGAGATTTCTCTCCTAACAATGACGACTTGTCTCTTCATTTAAAATCAATCAACAGACAAGTCTTTTCCAGCCGAACTACAGTGCTCTGACTTTTCCATTGCACGAGGGAGTACGTAGGTACTAAGTCTTACGACCCAAGGCGAGCAACAAAAATAATAAAAAACATTTCATTTTCTTTTGTTTACAAATACTCATTCATTCTTTTCGTTTAGCAAGTAAACCTTTACATAACACTCCTTTTAAAAGAAACCAAACAAAATAGATCATGCGGAGTACCGTAGATGCTTAGGGTGTTAATACATTCCCTTTGCATAACCGACCCTCGTACCTCGATCTCTGATCTTTTATTTCGTTGTGGATTTTGTTCGCTTTTTTCCCATTTCCCTTTGGAAACAATAAAGTGCGGTGACGACTTTATTGTGTTGAGACAAGTCAATTGATGGCTTAATCTCAAATCTTTACAGCTACATTTCTTTTCCTATCATCATTGTCGCAATTTAGTTCGTTCTCTGCTACGTCTTCGACGCCAACGATTTTGCACACGACACATACAATTTGATTTAATTATTATTTATTTTTATTTTATATTAAAATATTTTTTTTAAAATCAATTTCGCTAAAACCCAATTAATACCCATGTACAAAAAAATTTACTTTGTTTATGTTTTGTCAATTGATTTTGAAAACAAAAACATTGAGCGAGGGTAATAAAAAAAACAAAAGCCAAAACCTAATTTCAGTTCTATCTGTCTGTCGCTAACATCCATCCACCGTGTGCAGCTCCTGTCGACGCCTACAAACATCTCTGCCGACGTTCGCTCCCCACCTGCTCGGAAACCTCTCTCCACTTCAAGCAAAGTACACGAAAATGTCAACAAACAAGAGGAAGAAAACCAACCAAACTCCGGAAAACAAGTTCCAGTTCGAGCTCAATGCATGCTCTAAATCAAAAGACTTTCGCGGCGCAATCTCGCTATACGATGATGCTGTTTCGAAGAAAACCCGTCTCAACCAACACCACCTCAACGCACTACTCTATCTCTGTTCCAATGCAGTCACTGACCCTTGTCTTAAACAGCTTGCATTAGATTATGGATTTCGTATATTCGATCATATGTCCTCCCAAAGTATCACTCCTAATGAAGCGACTGTTGCGACCGTAGCTAGACTCGCTGCTGCCAATGGTGATGGTGACCGCGCGTTTGAATTGGTGAAAAAAATTGGTGATTATAATGTTGCACCTAGGTTGAGGACTTATGATCCGGCGTTGTTTTGTTTTTGTGAATCTCTTGATGCTGATAAAGCGTATGAGGTTGAGATGCATATGTATGGTGTTGGGGTTAGTTTGGAGGAAGAGGAAATTGCGGCGCTTTTGAAGGTTAGTGCCAAGAAGGGTAGGGCTGATAGGGTTTATAGGTATCTTCACAAGCTAAGGAGTAGTGTGAGGTGTGTGGAGGAAACTACGGGAATGGTTATTGAGGAGTGGTTTCGGAGTAGCGAGGCGCGTGAGGTTGGGAAGGAGGATTTGGATGTGGAGAGGGTTAGAGAGGGAGTTTTGAGAAATGGAGGAGGTTGGCATGGTTTGGGGTGGGTTGGAAAAGGGGATTGGGTTGTGAGTAGAACGAGTGTTGATGGTGATGGGATTTGTCGTGGATGTGGTGAGCAATTGGTTTGTGTGGATATTGATGATGAGGAGATGGAGAAATTTGCTTCGTCTGTTGCTGCATTGGCTGTGGAGCGTGAGGTCAAGGCAAATTTTAGTGAATTTCAGGTGAGTGAATGACTTGCCGCAAAATAATTTTAAATTGTTTAAATTGTTTAAATTGTAACTTGGTTTTGACGTTTATGTTATCTTTTCGGCAACCACAAGGGCTGGCTTGAGAAACATGATGGTTATGAAGCCATAGTGGACGGTGCCAATGTTGGACTCTACCAGCAAAATTTTGCTGAAGGTGGATTTAGCATTCAGCAGGTAACATGCCTATATTACAGGATTACGCAAGTTCTTACTAATAAACATTCATATATTTATTCCTATTCCTTTACTGTCGAATGAATTTATGCAAGTTTTTCTTGCTCTTGGTTGATAAGTTAACTTTACATTTCATGCACTGACCGTGTGTGTATGTGGATTATATAATAATGTAGCTTGATGATGTTGTGAAAGAATTGTACAATCAAAGCGGGGGAAAATGGCCGCTGGTTATCCTACATAACAAGCGTGTAAGAGGGCTAATGGAAAATCCTTCCAGCAGAAAACTGGTAGAGGAGTGGATGAAAAACGGCGTGCTATATACAACTCCAAATGGATCCAATGATGATTGGTAAATTGCAATTTTTTTTAAAGCTTTACTTATTTCTCTCCATCTTAGGATAGCATTATTATTTCTTGAAATGTTCCTTTACTGTAACTGAAAAATTTAATGCCTTAATATTTGAACTTCATTTTGGATTAAGGGATAGCACTACTTATCTTTCTTTTCTTTTGGTGTCAAATTAGTCATTTAACAGGAAAGATTCTACTACAAATATGTGTATACAATCATCATTGAATGATATGCTAATAAGAACATTTCGCCACTCTGTATCTCACTTCGACCCTCGTAGACAACACCAAGGTCTCAATCATAGATGAACACAAAAAATCATGTTAATTTTGATGAATTAGATATTATAACCTTATTTTGATGTAATTTATATGTTATCTTAATGAATTGCAGATATAATTTACCTTTTTAAATGGTCAATTAAGACTTTGAGCAACATATATAGATGAAAAATGAAGGTTGGTTCAACACTGTTGACATTTATAAACATAATAGACTAACTTGACACAAAAATAAAGGGCTTGTTTGAGACTTTAAATTAAGTTGAAGGACCCCTGGTGTAATTTTGCATGTATTTCTATTACACTGTATGCTAATTTTTTGGTCTAAATTATTTGTATGAAAGTTAAATTTACCACTAAATCATCATTTCGATGCAATTTCGTTATGCGTTTATTTTTAAATTGGTCAAAATTTGCTTTTGAATCTTTCAATCACTAACTTTTATGTTAAACCTGTTTACATTATGCAGTTTTATAGCCTATATTGTGTTTCAATTTTATGCACTTAATTTATCTTATGTGGTTCAGGTATTGGCTCTATGCTACCGTAAAACTCAGATGCTTGCTTGTGACAAATGATGAAATGCGAGATCACATATTTGAACTCCTAGGAAGCAACTTTTTTAACCAGTGGAAAGAAAGACATCAAGTAAAATATTTATCATTTCTAAGATCACTTATTCTAGCACCACAAAGGAGATGCTTATTCACGAACGAGAAAATCCTTCATTGATAATTTAAGTTTTCAGATTTTTGTTTACATCGATAAAGCCTTCAAAGTTGATCCATGTAACCTATAAAATCTGATTTGTAGGCGATTTAAGATTTTTACGTCGTGCCAATATTTTCGGTCACATGTTTTTTTCTTCTTCTACAGGTTCACTATACTTTTATTAAGGGGAAGTTGAAACTTCAGATGCCACCATCATACTCATTGGTTATCCAGGTAATTTTTTGTAAAACTGTGTTATTTAAGATGTTCAATACTGTATAAGTCTATCTCTGTCTCACATACTTTTTCATCTTATACAACTTACACAAATTATGAATATACATAAAAACACAAAGGGACTCCGTAATTTTGTCGAATTTGCTTGTTTATTTAACATTTTTGAATTTTGTATGTACCATGGTACTGTATTTATTTAGTGCTGTCATGCTACTGTTCTTCCCCTGGGAATGTGGCAGTGTGATTCTGCACTACACTGAAATATTGTTGTTCCTTTGGTACCTAAGGGTAGATTTGTGTTACCATTTTTTAATACGATGCCCAAGTGTCTTAAATTTATTACTGCTAATGTTCACATAGGTTTTGCAAGAAGCTTTAATTATTTATATTTGGCATCAGAGTCAATTGTTTTCAGGATGATGGTTGTAAGCTTGTATGTGTTTCCTAATAACAACTAACACTGCAAAGAAAAGTTTGTTGGATAACTTGATTACAAGTTATTCGCATATTGAGAAAAGTAGAATAGAAAAGAATAAAGAGCAATTGAGAGAGAAGTATTATTGAAATGGAATTGAGTTTATTACAAACATGTGTTACATCATTTATATAGGATCATACTACTAACTAACTTCTAGTTAGTAACCACATACAAAGTTAACAGTAATCACATGTATAACTAGTTTCTAATTTATAAAACTGAATTACATAACTAATACCCTTCCTAATTCAGATTTTTAAGTTCCTCATTTCCATTAATCCTTTGAGGGCTTCAAATCTTGCTTGCTTCAAGGATTTTGTTAGAATGTTAGCCGATTGCAATTCAGTCTTGCAACACTCAATTCTCAACCTCACTTTACTAACTTGGTCCCTAAGGATATGGTACCTCCTTTCTATGTGCTTGCTCTTACCATGGCTCATAGGATGGTTTGACAAATCAATTGCTGGTTGATTGTCCACTAGCAACTTGATTTGCTCACTGATGCTCACATTCAACTTTTTAAGCAACATCTTCAACCAAATTTTTTGACATGCAGCATTGGAGGCTGCAACATACTCTGCTCACATGAAGACAAAGCCACAATTTATTACTTCTTTGAACTCCATGAAATTGGTGCGAATTCAAGCATGACAAGTAACCAGTTGTGCTCTTTCTATCATATTGATCACCACTCCAATCTGAATCAGAATAACCATACACCTTGGCTTCCATTCTTGTGTTTTGTTGATTTGGCATTACTCATTTGTACTCCATGGTCAGTTTTACCTCTAATGTGCCTTAGGATTCTATTTGCAGCAAGTAGATGATATAGCCTCAATTTCTCCATGAATCTACTAACCAATCCTACACTATGACAAATATCAGACTTTGTAGTGCAGAGATACCTCAATGAACCAATGATTTGTTTGTACAAAGTGCTATCCGCCAGTTCATCTTCTGACTCCTTCTTCAATTTGATGTTGGTCTCCATAGGCATGTTTGCAAGATTGCAATTGACTGACATTCTAACAAAACCCTTGAAGCAAGCAAGATTTGAATGCTTCAAAGGATTAATGGGAATTAAGAACTTAAGAAATCTGAGTTAGAAAAGGTATTACTATTATTAAACTTGGCCGTTCCGGCTGTTATCTCAGCACAAAATAGAAAAATCAAGAAAACCGCGCCGGGCCGTGCCGTCCCGTCACATATGGGTGACTCAGCTGGAACGAGTTCAATAGTGGGATTGGATTCAGAACGACACTGCGTCAAAGCGGCCGCTCCGGCTGCATCAGTTGTAAAGGATATTACCTTTAAATTTTTAAGGGTAGCAAGGTCATTTTATTAAATTTCATTGGCATTTGCAAAAATATGTTTTGCTCAAGACTTCTGACTTTTATTTCTAAATATGAATACTTCATGAATTTTGATTAATTTATTTTAGTTTTTGACAATTATGTGTTTATTATATTAACTATTAGCATTCATGTTGCTTAAATATTGGCCGTGCTGCTTCCCGCTCCCATTCCGTTCCATTTCTAGAGATGACTGTGCCGTGCCGCTATCCGAGATTGATAACATAGATTACTATTAGACAATGTAATTCAGTTTTAGAAGTTAGAAGTTAGTTATACATGCTGCTAACTCTGAATGTGGTTACTAATTAGAAGTTAGATAATTAATAGTATTATCCTATATAAATAATGTAACACATGTATAACTGTCAGTAACCACATGTATAATCCTAAGCTATCTTCTAAAACTGAATTACATATATAAAGATTGGTAATTGCTAGCATACAAGGGGTCGTCAAGAGCATTTTGTGATTATTCTAAAATGTCATACCAAACATGAAAAATCCTGAATACTTTGTTTCCCGTGTAACTTGGTATATTATGATTCTCAACTGTAAAAGTCTGAACTTTTTGTTTTGAAAACTATTCTTGAATGAAGTCCTTGAAAATATTGTATTTCAGGAATCAGAAAAAGGATCATGGCATGTGCCTTTGGGACTAGGCACTAGCAACGAGTCTTCGAAACCTTGGCTCTGTGTTACGCGAACAACTGCGGATGATGCTGTGGCTACTGTTTCTAATGGTGTGGGTACTTGTGGAAATTCTGGAAATGGTCATCGAGACGAGGCACAGAAATTAGCAGGCAATGTTGATAGCTTAGATTCACCAGTCATTGAGAATAAGAGTACTTCTGTGACTGGTAAAAGAAAAGAGAGGTCTCATCCTTCATGATAGATGGTTTTATTTGACATTAATTTATTAGAGGACCTTGTGACATTATTTAATTCATGTTGTCAACCCATCTTATATGGAAAAGGCATTGGTGGTTTTTTTTATAACCATATATTTTCTGAATTGGATTAATTATCAATTTTCTCCTTAAATTGACTTTTTATAACAAAAAGTTAGACGTTACAATGATTAGAAGTTTTTTTTTGAAGTACTGTAATTCCTAAGCAGGGACTATGACATTTAAAACTTCAAAAGCATCATTCTAAGTGTCTTCCTTATTATGTAACTCCCTCCTCTTGAGCATAATTTTAGTATCAGTTACAACAGTTTTTCTATTGGACTGTCTGAAGCTCTATATCAAGCTCCACCACCTGCAAAAATTAAATGCCAAGGGCTTCTTTCTTGGTATACCACTAGCAGGTCTCACATACACTTTTTAGCAAGAACATCTAGCATTTATCGTGGGACTGTGATAAACTAAGTTTCTAACCACACTTCACATCTTTGAGAAGGTGGTATGAGTCCAACCTCTCCTCGAGGACAATGAGATTTTTCTTGCAATTCAAGCCATATAGACGAATTTCTTGCCATTCAAGCCATATAGACAAATTATGACGCGAAAACGACTACTAGCAAACACAGGTCCAAACAATCAAAAATTAGAATGAATTGACGAAAATTTACTCAGAATTATTAAAGGACGACCTAGAAGTTTAGAAATTTAAGAAACCCAAGTTCTAGAAAACTTCAAACCAACAATTATGGAGAATTGAAATTTCACGGGAAGTGAGATTCACACACTTCTATCAGGAACTCTAAAGGAGGTCGCACTTCGGTGATACATGAACCTACCTCGTTACTCACACACTGGATACACTGATTTTCAGAGAGTAAGCATTAGAGTGTCATCCACGAGATTTTTCAAAATTCTCCTAGGGAAACTGAAAAAGTATGAAAGAATACACAAGTCATAAACCCGAATACAAAAATCTTTGTAGGAGCATTTCAGAACGATTTAAAAGAGTGTCATCTCAGAGCATGAGAATGAATTGAGAACTAACCACTAAAACCACGCATTCATGCATTTATAACTGTTAGACAAACAGTCTCTATTTAAGAACAATATTTTTAAAATTATGAAATAAAAATGAAATTATATCCTCTGGAACTTGATAAATAAAAAAGTTCATACTTTACAACATTGATCCTGGAAGAATATCCTTTTTGAAAGATGCAACTGAATTCATAAAAGATCCTGCTTGTGTTTACCAGTTTTTACTATAACGTATTTCTAGAATCCTGTCCATTACACTATTTGACACAATACAAAAATCTCAATTCTATGCAGAAGACAAATAAAAATAATTTTTTTGGGAAATAAACAAATGTAACAATTCGTATGTTATATGTATTAATGTAATAACATTGATGTACAAAATAACACCCCCCACATTAGTCCTTAGAATAACAAATCCTGGAAGATCATGCTGGAACTAATTCCTCTGCTCAGTGCCCTGATGGACTCCTATTCCATGACAAATATGATGGATCTCCAAGTTGCCTATAACATAAGAGACACAAAGATTAGGACCTAATAACATTCAAAACATTGTTTATGTCTCTTGAAATATGAGTGATTTTCTTACCTTGGCTTGACAAAATATAGAATAGTAAAAGCCATGGCCAAAAAGAAGCTTAATCCTCCAACAGATAGATAAGCGATGCCGAGGAAGTCATTCTTCCCACCAAGCCAACTAGCAGTTGACAATACAAGCTTCTTCTTGCCGCTAAAACTATATGTGTTGTAGCGGTTTTGCACTACCACGTTTATCACATCGCCTTTCTCCAAATCCACCTCAATCCTTCCATACAACTTTCTAAAAGTTGGTAAAGCAGCTGTTCGCATCCAAACAATAAGGTCCTCCTGCTTACTCAACTGTTCCATAAACATTCAGTGTGAGCAACTTATAAGGCTTTAGAGCAAGTGAAAACCATAAAATTATTTTAACAGGAAAGATTCTCAATACTCCAAATTGGGCCTAATTCAATAAATATTTGGGTTCAGGTAAAAGAATTACCGGTATTGTTTCATTGAGATGAGCACCGCCTATAATAGTACCATTCTGGAAATTTTTAGGAAAAACATCACTTCCAAATTTGTGATCCCTATCACTTTTCCATGAGATTTCATTCTTGTTCACTGTAACATTCTGGCTGTTGCGCGTAAAGCTGTATGTATCATTGAACATACTCCAAGCTATAAGACCACAAGGTACAATTGGAACACCGTTTACATCTTCAGGCTGACAACCACTTGTCGAGTTTCCTTTTTTTGAATCCCTCAACTGCTCATCATTTCGGCTTTTCACATACCTAGATTTAAAAAAAAAATATTTACTTATGAGTTTATAAACAATTTTACATAGTATATTATATTCATAAGAAACCACCATAAAACTACCAAACATTGAAAGTGGAAATTATTGAAGGAAGCAAACAATCCAAGTCAGTGGAGTGACAAACTATTATTACCAGGGAAAACATATGCATAGCTCCAGCATCACAATATGTGCTAACTTTTTCATATTTATAGTTCTATTACTTTGACATAAACTCTAGCATGCACAACAAGAAATAGATCGAGTCGAAACAACGTGTAGCAATATGCATTACTGGATAATATCAAGGTAGCAAAAAAGAACTAAAAGGATTTAAATCATGACAATGTTTAATTTTTTAAATTGGCGAAGATAGTAAAAGTTATGACTCTACTTTTAGCACATTTAACACTATGAAAAAAAAATTAAGTGATCTGTAGTGCACAACTTTCGACCAGACACCAATTAATAGACATCTGACTACAGTCACTCATTTCAAAACTGGAGAATTAAGCAACAAAATCTAAAGGGCGAGAGATCCCGTCACTTGAAACCATTTTCGTCTCTGCTTGGTTAACATGAAAACCATACAAATAAAAGGAATGTGTGGTGATTCATGAAAATTAAAAGGTATGTACCGGCGATGATTTTGGTAGAAGTTATCAAGTTGGTAGTAAACATGGATAGGAGACTTCATACGCTTTGGCACCTATTGATAAGAGCAGTGTTTGAAACAAAAGGATCATCAAAATTTGAAATCCACAATTCACCACTAATGAGAACAGAGTTAATGCAGAAATAACAAACATAAAGTAAAAAAGAGAAATTATGAGCAGTGTTTGAAACAAAAGGATCATCAAAATTTGAAATCCACAATTCACCACTAATGAGAACAGAGTTAATGCAGAAATAACAAACATAAAGTAAAAAAGAGAAATTATGAGCAGTCAAAGAACCATACTTCCAGCTTCCTTGTGCAAGTTTTATCAGCATTACTCTGAATGAATGCTACCTTGTCCGTCCAATTTGACGGTACACATGCATCCTCGTACCTATCAACAATTTCAACAACCTGATATAGAGACAACAATAACAAACTCAAAGTAAGCATAAAGAATTATACATATTTGTATAGAGCTGTAAACAAAAATCAAATAAAGTTTTGCACTCGTACGTACATCTCGTGAAGCAATAAGCGAAGCAACTCCAATAGGAATGAATACGACGGTAACAATCAAGAAAGCCGAAATAACCTGCAGGGAAAGTAATATACAATGTAAATGCCGATCCCTAAATGCATATGAATTAAAATCGATAATCAGAAACACTATATACAACAGACAAACATATTTACCGCTTGTGGTGTAAGAATAGGCTTGCATGCTGGAAGTTCTTGTTGTGTAAACTTTGAGTCTGAAAGCCATTAAATATTTCAAGATAATCAGAAAATTTGGGTAAGTAGAAACACAACACAAACGTATATTTGGTTCTACGGTGAAAAAAACAGATTTTAAGTGAATTGATTCTGGTTAAAAATAGTTAAAAGTAAATTGAACATAAAATGATTTATATTGGGATAACTCTATACAAAATTGAGTTGAACAATAAATTTCAACGTAAAAAAACACGTTTAAACTCAAAAGCTTCAAATACTAGTTAAGTAGAATCAATTTTGAAGGCAGAATCAATTCTAATTTAGAAGAACCAAACACCTCAAAATTATTCAAAACTCAATTCTACAAATCTAGAATTGCTTTTTACTCTTTCACAAGGTAAACCAAACATACACAAATTTTATCTTCAAGTAGAATCAATTCTGGAATCAAAATCCATCCATTCTAAAGTAGAATAACCAAACACCTCAAAATCATTCAAAAATCAATTCTACCCCCTCTATAATTACATTTGCCACTTCCAAAAGTCAAACCAAACATGCCCAAATACAATTGTTGACAAATCCTAACATATTCTCTAACTTGATAACACAATCCACAACTAGCTCAACCACAACAATCAACATATCAAACTAAGTCTAAAAAAACAATAGCTAAATTTCATGTTCAAATTAAGCTCTATTCATGAAATTGAGCTTCAAAAAGGGTAACTAACAACTAACAAAAGAAGAAGAAAATCATCCACATAAAAAATTTAAAACCTAACCCTAAAAACCAATACATGTTGATGAACAAATTGAGCTCAAAACCCTAAAAAGAAAAATCCTTACACTTAGGTCGTTTCGTTTGTGGTCTATTAGCAGTAGGATCGCTGGATCCAGCGCTGGTAGTAGCCATGACAGAATCAGAAATCCTTGGGAAAAAAAAATAGTAGAGTTTTTCGAAGTGCTTGAGAAATTGAGAGAATGAAAATAATGAAAATAATGAAAGAATGGAAGAGGAGAAAATGTTATAACAGAAGAGAAATGAGAAGGAGGGGTTACCGGTTGAGCAGGTGGATGAGATGAATGAAATTGGATATTGGAAGGAAAGGGGAAGGAGGTTTCGTGTGACGGGGGCGGCCGGTGACCCTTTCTCTCAGTTTCTCTCTCTAGGTTCTTTGTGTTTCTTAGTAGTTGTTGTAGGATGAGAGAACAGAGAGGAAAGAGAGAGAAAGGGACATCGTGTGGGACCAAGGGAAATTCCAGTCAAATGAATACAAATTACTCGCTTTGGTTGATTTCAATGTTGATTGGTTCTCTAACAAATTTTGTTTTGTTTTTTTTTCTTTTCTTTCTATTTTGATTTTTCAAATGTTCTCGAATAAGGATAATGGATTAGGATGAAATTTTAATGTGAAATTTCTATTTTCTTTTTTCTTTTTGCGTGACTTCGTAAATATTTTCAGAATGAATTTGTTTTAGTCATTTTGACACGAAACGAATATAAAATTTTAACCTCTAAAGAACGAACCAACAAGTCAAAGTTCATACGTTCAAAATGTCTAACACACTATTATCCAATAAATTCGTGGTTTTTTCATCCAGAACTACGTATGTCTTGAGTTCCTCATTGTACCTGGGAATATGCAGGAGCGAGATCCCAAATCTCGTCAGACTCTCTTTTTCAAATATACAAAAAAGACAGTTCTACGAATTACGAAGCTCTGACTTTTTCATTGTAGGAGGGAATACATAGGCACAAGACTGCGAAGTCTTGGCGAGTCCAAAAAACTAAAATATCAAAACCTTTTTCTTTCTCCTTTCTCGATTAATAAGTAGAAGATCGCAAACAATCACGCTAACACTCAAACACACAATAACTAAATGATTTCCGTCGAGTACGTTGAATGTGAGGGGTATTAATACCTTCCCCTTACATAATCGTCTCCCGAACCCTCTCTTGGTCGCGATGACCATTTCTTTTCTCTCGCGAATTTTATTCAACATTTTCCCGTTCCTTTGAAACAAATAAATTTTGGTGGCGACTTTATTGGTATATTTTGAGCGTGTTATGCGCTCGGGTATTTTTCGTGTCGCGACAACGATGAAACGCTCTTTTCGGGTGGACGAGAAAGCTTACATGTCTAATTTTCAAACAAATATTTACTAGGATGCCATTCAAGGAAATCTTATTTAAAACATTAGGAGGCTAAGGGTTACTTTCCTCTCGCCCGCTCCTTGTATACGTGATAATGTGCAGTATGCCATCATGCAACGACAAGTTACCGAATAGTTTAAGGCCAGGAGATCTTCGGTGAGATATGTACTCATATCTAGTTGATGTAAATTTAATGACTTTAGTATGTCGGCATGGTGGACGTGACATGAATTTCTTTCATCTACGAGAAATCTTGTGAGAGTGCGATCAACGACGGTGACTACCATGGCTAGTGGAAACTCCATATTTGTGGCTCCATTTATCTTCACTTTGTGGTATGGTATCAACTGTTGTTTGTAAGAGGTGCTTTGATGACAGATCTACGTTGGATGTCACTGTTTTGCGGATCTCATCGATAGTGATAAATTTTGGTGGAACATGAACAAAAGAGCTAACAGAGCTCTTCATTATGATGTATGAGATGACTATCTCCTTCTCTTAGTGGTTCCACTAGAGATCTAACTTTGGATCAAGAATGGTCTATCTATGAAATTTCAGGGAAATTAAGAGTCGATTTTCATAAACGCTGTCATTATTCTGTTGTGGAACCAAAATTCATTTTGATTTTACTTACTCCTGATTGAACCTTTACTTTGGCCCTTTTCCTAGCCCAGAAGTATATATATATATATATATATATAAAGGGAATGCACACTTTTGGTCTGATTTTTTTCTTCTTATGGTTTTCATCATTGGTATAGTCCGGTTCTAGGATCAGTTCTTGTATTAAATGGTTTCAGCCCCCTCTCAATTGTAGTTGCAGTGAATCGAATCACAATCCTCTCTATCAAATTCAACATCAATCACTATTAGACTAACTAACGATTAATCTGACCTATTTTTATTCATATATTACCCTTAAAAAGTATTTTTTTTACACACTAAGTTTTAACCATAGTTAATGAAAGAATAAAAAAACTGCCGCATTTAAGTTTTACACAATTAATAGAACACTTATTTAATTGTGTCAAAAACGTAAACAAATTAAAACTACAAAACAGAATAAAAAATGAAAATGAGATTCAACAACACATTGAAGATACGCTTTTGTTCACGGCAAGAAAGAACACAGAAAAATGGAACAATAATAATGGGTGAAAGAAATTGAATAACAAGTACATGCTCCTTCTTTATTAGAAATCAAATACCATGATATTGTCCCATTAACTCTCATTTCCATATCTATCACTTTATTCTAAAACCATCTCAAAGGTAGGAAAATCACTATCGTGATACTTATATTATTAAATTATGCACTTTCCACATGATTTAAGTACCATGTTACAGAGTTGTAATGGAAGACCGCTCCTGCAGTAAAAATAAATGGTAGAAAAAGGGAAAAGTAATATAAGGTAGTTGCTAATTGCTATATGCCATTGATATTTAAGACTGTAATTATATCTATTACTTCTCTTTCATTTTTACTAAGTATGTCTTATAATTCTTGAGAGTAAAGTTTGTTAACATTTTGCTGTCAATAACATGCCCCAAAATATAAAATGAACTTTTACATGCTATTGAATGTAGTATTTGTAATGTTTTGTATATGTCAAGTGGTATTATTGGAAATCTTGAAATGATGATAATTTAGAGAGTGGAAATTAGAATGATTTATTGACTTTAAATGAGCAATAAATGAGTATAAGTAAGAACTAATATGAAATTGAATTTTAAAGAATTCATTTTAGTCTCACATAGGGGGAACACACATATTAGTAATATATATATATATATATATATATATATATATATATATATATATATATATATATATATATATATATATATATATATATATATATATATATATATATATATATATATATATATATATATATTTCAATTTGGCAAAATGGGTTGGCCCCTAAGGCGTATCCCAATTTTGTAAAGGAATGAGTTATTTCTGAAGAATTGATAGTAGAAGATAAAGTTGAGTATGTCAAAACAAGATCCACATTTAAACAATCTAAACACGTATGAGATTAGTATCTCCTATAGAACAAACTTCATGTGATTAAACACTTCAGGAAAATGAATGGATTCTGAAATTACAAGAAGAGCATATATATATATATATATATATATATATATATATATATATATATATATATATATATATATATATATAAACCAAACCGAGATAACAAGTTTCAAATACAATTTCATTTAACTCTTCTTCTTCATATAATGACTTGAGTGTTAGTGTGCTAACCTTGCACGTCTTTCCACTCTACTGCATTAGAGATTACGATTCACTGTCACCTCCGTTCAACTTCTCATTAATTAATTAAAAATAGTGGAAATTAATTAATATTTAATATTAATTAGTTTGTTTTCCCTCCAAGAGTCATACGTGTGACTTGCTAACCAAGTAAAAAATGACTATTTTTTACTGGTTCGGTTCCACTCTCTCCCACGATTTTGCTCCACTAACTTGAATCATTTGCCTATAAATAGTGTTCTTTAGTTTATTTACAACTCACCTCAGAATTCACATTTGAATTCTCTCTTCTCTCTCTCTCTCTGCTCAGCTTCATCTAAAATTTTCTTTTTTGTTTTCGAGTGGCTCAGTGCCATCAACGACTGGATTAATTCATATACTACGACTGGTTTTAATACCATCTGAAGATGTATCTCTTCGAACAATTCATTACAGTGCAAGTGATAATCATATTTTCTTGAAGGAGTTATTTTATCCTGGAGACGTCGTCGAAACTCGATTGCTTTGCATAATTATCGGCACTATTGTGGCCGTTACTGTCTCTGACAAACCATTTAAGTTTGAGGGTTCTTATTTCAAATGTTGGCAAGCTAAGATGAAAATTTTCTTAACTTTAAAGAAGGTTGCCCACATTATGAATGAGGATATCCCTGTTGCTCCTTCTGGATCAATTGAACTAACTAATGGTAAGACAATTGTGGGATCAGACGGGACTCCAAAATTGTCTGACTTAGACTCTGCAGCAAAAGCTAAAGCTGCGACAAATAACTTATAGCTCAGGAAAGAAATCTCCATATGACAAGAGAATGACAACCTATGTAAAAATCACATTTTGAACAGTCTTGCTGATGATTTGTACGATTACTACAGTAATTACAAGACTGCTAAACATGTATCAGAGGCTTTACAAAATAAATATGATACTGAAGATGCAAGTGCAAACAAATATGTTGTTAGTCGCTCTTGAATTATAAGATGGTGGATGAAAATTTTGTGGAAGCTCAAAGCCACGAAATTCATAAGATTGCTCATGAAATCATTACACAACCTATGTCCCTCGATGAAAAATTTCAAATTGCTGTTATCATTGACAAGCTGCCTCCTGGTTGGAAAGATTTCAAAAATGTGCTTCACTATAAAACAAAAGAGTTTTAATCGAGAGTCTGATTACTTACCTCTGAATTGAAGAGGAAGCTCGGAGACAAGATCAAAAAGATGAAGTCTTAGTTGTTTTTAACAACAAAAAGAGATTCGGTGCAGTTCTGAAGCCTACGGGCAAACCATTAAAGAATCAGATCCATAATTTTGTGAACCGAATTCAGAATAAAAATCTCTCTAGGGTCCCATCTGCTCCATTTTCTAGGCAACAACCACCGCCTTAAAGAAATGATGCTTAAGTTTTCACTTGCTACAATTATGGGAAACTGGGTCATATGGCAAAAAAGGTAAGAGCATGCCTAAATGTGCTGCTGACTCA